CAGAAAGTTTTTCTTTCACCCAGCTCCTTGAAGCTTGCTTTTCCTTTGCTTTCTGGATCTTCAAAACTTTCTTCACTATCTTTTTGCTCCTCCACCAAGAAACCATCTCCAAAATCAAATATTAAGGCTGGGAGTATTTATAGGTGCTTCAGAAAAGAAAGATATGAAGACATAATATTCCAAACAAAGGTTTCAAGTGTGCACAGTAGTTCACCAAACAATCATAGCATAAAGGACTAAAAGATTCATTTTTGAGTAGTAATAACTACTATTCCAAAGTATTACATGTAACTAACTTTGGCATCACCCAACGTGGGAAAACTCACTGTAGTGACTAACTCTCAATGCTTTGAGGTCACAAATCCTTCCTAACTTAAATGTTAATTATGATAAGGTAATAGAATGGAACAAGATGGGAAAGAGGGGAATAATTTTATTCATAGAAATGCACTTTTTAATTCACTACATTATACATATTTGCATCTGATTTTCATTATATTTTTCTTCTAACGTACAAGCAAAACCTTGTTTCCATCAGTACACATTTGTAGATAACCCAAGAAATAAATTTCTAGACCTTAATGACACATGAAGACATATCTTGCACACATAAAAGGTAACCAATACAGAACAATGTATATGTGTGTGCATATTATTCATTGGAGTGTAACCTTGAAATTACAAAAAATATAAAACTGCATAGAGTATAACTTAATTTACCTGTTCCCTTGAAAAGTTTCCCACACGACCAACCTCACTGATAGTTCAAACACACATAAAAACTAGGGGTATTCGGTTCTGGGTACCCTGCATTTTTTGAAGGAACTAGAACCAGAACCAACGGTTCCTTGAAATTTGGAACCAGAACCAGAACCGGAAACAAAACCGACACTTCCGGTTCCTAGGTACCTAGAACCGAAACCTGTAACAACGGTTCTGGTTCTGGTTCTGGTTTTGGGTACCCTGTAAAATTACATGACCCCCCAAAAGTTTTAAAATGACAGAAAAACCCTTAAAAACTTACAAATACCCCCCCACCTGGAACTTGTTAACAAAAACAAAATTACAAATTATAAATTCAAAATTATAAACTTCAATACTTTGTAAAGATAGATTCTCAAAAGTCAAACCAACTTATTTTAAATGTTAAGAAATATAAATATAAATGTATTTACATTACTTTTTCTACAAAAGTTTTTATTAACCTCCTACTATTTACTTTTATTTTATATCAGTCTCGGTTCCCGGTTCTGATTCCCAACTATAAGAACCGGAATCGGAACTGCACAGTAACAGTTCCAAAAATTGGGAACCGGAACCTACCCGTTGACGGCCGGTTCTGGGTAGAAATCGGAACCAAACCTCAGGTACCCGCCGGTTCCGGTTCCAATCAGTTCTTTTGAACACCCCTAATAAAAACAGCTCCTCTCAACTAAGAACTTTCAGCTACTCGCCCATCGCCAACAATAACCGCATAACACCTCCTTGAGCTTTATTTTTTGAAATCTGATGAACAACAAGGGTATAAAGTGTGAAGTTTAATCAATCATGCAAACGCATACCCATATCAATGTGAGTACATGAGAAAAATGAGCTAGAGATCATGTTGCTTTTCTCATTTCAAGGCAATCAATAATAGCAACTGAAAGATATAGGCTTCATAATAATAAGAATTGAAATTTATATTACGAGAAGAGGTAGGGAAAGATAACAGGACTCCAAAGGAGAAAAAAAAAAATTAACCCCAAAAACGAAAAAAAAAATGCAAACTGATTCTCAACAAAATATCTACTTTACCAAACGTTTCCATGTTCTGAAACATCTTAAATTACATACAAATATACATAAAAACATATAAAGTACCCAAATCTAATAAATTAGAAAAAAAAAAAAAAAAGAGAATTAAATACAAACAAAAGTTATACCTTATAACTAATAGAAATTCCATTCGAAAGACAGCGCTGAGTGATCCCAATTTCTTTGTCATGCACTTTCGTGACATTTAATTCTAAGACCTTGGCACCAATAGAATTAAGCTATAGCAACAAATAATCGAGGACCAAAACCATTGTGTAAGAAAAATATTCATTTTTTAGAAAAGAAAGCAAATCAGTAAGAAACATGCAAGTCGTTTTACTACATTCTAAGAATTACAATAACGATACTTGTGCCTTCTTATGAGCACAAATCTGTTGATACTTTTACAAACAAAGTAATGCTATAATTATAGATGAGTGTGCATCAAATTTGTGCATAACTAAATCTGACCGTTGATTTATTATTAGTTAATATTAATCAACAATTAGAATTTTATCACATAAATTCGGTGTAAACTTTTTGGTAACCCTATCATTTTCGTTTCCAAAAGATGATTTCTACGTGGATGGTTGTTCTTGTTTTTTCTATTGCCTTCGAGCATGTTTCAGGCCCTCTTATGGTGGTTGGAGGCTATCCCACTTTGTTTCTTTCTGGCCATCCTGGCCATCGGGAGGGGAGGTTGCTAAGGGTAGGGGCTGGGTTTCTTTTCTTCTAGGGGATTTGGGATTGGAAGGTCAGGCGTTTCTCCTTTGTGATGGTTGGGTACTCGGGGAGTGTTTGGGATGGGGTGAGGGCCGGCCAGTACTGGCTTTCTAGGTTTGGGCAGGAGAGCTGGGAGAGGTGTTGGGTCTGGTGGTTGGTTGTTTTCTGTGAGCTGGGTTTGATTGTTATGCTTTGTGATTTTTTGTCTTCTTCTTTTGATTTTGTTTGTTTGACTATTTGGGGTGGCAATTTTGCTGAGCTTTTTGTTGGCTGGAAGTTGCTGGCTGAGGTTAATCTGATGTGGTCTGCCCTGTTTGTTTGTGCGGTTGAAGGTTAGGTGGTTTGGATTGTTGATTGGTTTGGGACGTGGGTTTTTTGTGTTTGGGGTTTTCGACTGTTTCTCCTTTTGGATCATTGGTGAATTTGGTGTGGATTGATGTCCTTTTGTTTTGGTTATTTGGCTGGGTTGTTTCCTTTTTCAAGGCTGCTGATGTCGGTTTCCCTTGGATGTCAGATTGTTATTTTAGGCTGGGATGATATTTCAGAGGTGCTACAGTTTTTCTCTTGTGTGGGTGGCTGTGTCATGTTAGGCTGCTCCTATGATTTCTGTCTTGAAGGTTCGGCTGCTGGGGCTATGTCTGTGGGTTGTTGCCAAGACTTCTTTTTGGCTTGTCTGGTGTGAGAATTGCAGGTGTTATTGGCTGAGTCATGGATTTCTGTCTGCTGGTTGTAATGGGGGCAGGCGCCTTTTCCTACTGCTGTACGTTAGGACTGGGTGTTTTTGGCTGGTCTGGGGCGTGTGATTTTTATATAGGATTTTATCCTTGCTCTTTTTACCCTTTTAGGTGTATTATTTTATTTCTCTATAAAATTAACAGTTACTCAAAAATCTTGCAAGAGGCTGAAAAAGATTGACCGCATCTTTTATGCATTCCTTTAACCACCAGACAATATATAGTATCTATCTTTTGAAATTTTTAATTTTGTCAACTTTAAATTTTTTATTATGAAATATATTTGAAAATAAAAATAACTTAAAAATTAAACTTTAACAAACAAATAAGAGAAAAGATGCATTTGAAAAAGACTTGGAAAGCAAACCTGTTTGTTTCATGGATGGGGCTGCTCGCCACTTCGGCTCAACGCTGTCTTTATAAGTTGCTCAAAATCTTCAGATGACAAAGAAGACAAATATCTAGTATTATAAGAAAAATATTTTCCACGTACATATTTATAAACTACCAATACTTCTGGAATGAGGTGAGTGAACTTCTCCCAGTTGTCATTTTTCATCATGCCATAAATCTCTTTCAACATCATTCGAAACACAAGAGTCTTAAGGTTTCTTAGACACTCAATTCCGGTTGGAACCTCCTTCAACAGTGGACATGGTCCAATCTCAATTTTTCTTAGATTAGGCATTGCACCTTTATCTATCATCATCCATTTCAATCCTCGGAAATTACGGAGAGACAACAATTCAAGCTTCATGAACCAACCTTCTTTGATATGCAATTTCTCATCACAATAATATGTTACTTTGATAGTGACCCTTAATAAATTAGGAAGGGCTTGAAGGACTCTTATGTGATCAATATCGGCTGACCCCATTAAACTCAAGTATATATTACTTAGATTTTGAAGTTCAGAAATCCAGACCGGCAGCTTCTTAATATTACCTTGTAAAATGAAAGTTTGAAGACATTGCGGAGGAGAAGCCACATATTGTAAATCAAGAATATCTTTTGCACTTGTTGACCCTACAGCCAAACTTTCAAGATTTTCCATTTTCTTGACACTAACAAACAGATCCTTCAAATCTGTACTTGGAAGTTGAATGCACAACCTCCTCAACTGCCTTAGCTTCTTAAGCTCTTCAACTATGTTAGAATTTCCTTGCACAAAATATAGCTTCTGTAGGTTTATTAAAGCCCCAACACCCTCATGTATTTTGGCAGGGAATTCATCCCCATGCCATACCAGTAGATAACGCAAGTTTTTCAGATTTTTTATCTCAACCGGAAGCTCCGTCACAAGAGACCACTTCAAATCTAGAGTCTCTAAGTTGATAAGCATACCTATAGACTTGGGAAGTTCTTTTACATTTGTACTTTTCAAACTCAAGTAGTGCAAATGGAAGAGCTTTCCCACTCCATCAGGAAGGTAGTCCATAGGGACATCTTCAAAATCAAGTACTTTCAGAAGCTGGCAATTGGCAGAAAATGAACTCATGAAAGATCGAGGAAGTTTGTCTACATCAAACAGACAGATAGAACGGATCTTTGACTCCTTGATTTTCTCTAGAACATCATCAATATCCTTATTTACTGAAATACGATGAGTTTTATGAGTCAAGTCCTTAAGGCGTGACAGAAACCCAATTCCTTAGTCTTTTTTAGAAGGATTTCATACTTTAGATCATGGACTTTACATGTTCTAATTTGACCATGAACCTTTCTCTCCGAAACTTGAACCAAACTTCAGTCAATGAGCTCTTTCAAGTAATCTTCTGCAACTTGTTCTACTGGGAAGCTTTTCCTGTGTTGAACAAAACCCTCCCCTATCCATAGGCGAATTAATCTCCCAAATTTAATTTCATAGCTTTCTGGAAATACGGCAAAGTACAAGAGGCATGACTTTAGGTTGTGAGGGAGATCATAATAGCCTTCAGATAGAACTCTGTTGCAACTTCTTAAATGGGGATCGCTTCCTAATCTTGAGCCTAAACCATCAAGTAACTTTTTCCATTCAGAGACAACCTTGTTTTTGTTTGACAGAAGACCACCCACTGCTACAATTGTTAATGGTAAACCTCCACACTTTGCAATGATTTCATGAGACAATTTCTCCAGCTCTGGCGGACAAGACACATTAAAGCCAAATGCCTTTCTACGAAAAAGTTCCCATGCCTTATCTAAAGGCAAAGGTTCAAGCATATGGACATTAACAAAAGGAATTGAATGAGCAACTGTCATGTTTCGAGTTGTCAGCATTACCCTACTACCTCTGTTGTTATCAAGTAAAGCATACTTAACATCTTCCCAGAATTCTATGTTCCACACGTCATCGAACAAAACCATGTAACACTTGTCTTTCAAGAGCTTTCTTAGTGCAGTCATCAGATTCATCTCATTCGTCTCTTCCATAGCCTCTATCTCCCCTGAAGCGTACCCTGTTTGACGGTTAAATTGCTGTTTAATTGTCTTTAATAGATCCTTCTTCATGTATTCTTTCTCAACTATGATCAATGCCTGACAGTCAAAATGCTTCTTCACAACATCATTATCATAAATCTTAGCGGCAAGAGTGGTCTTTCCTAATCCTCCTTCACCCACCATGGCAATCACTGAGAGACTTGATCTTTGATTCATCAATAAATCAATCAATTTATGTTTAGAAGATTCAATGCCCACAATCTCAGAGTCTTCAATGAAAAATGAGCCAACTCGAGAGTCATGTGGTATAATAGCTCCTGTACCACTACTTGATCCTTCATCTTTGAAGTTGTAGATTTGTCTTCTTCGTTTGATATCATCAAGCGATGATTTGATATCTTGGATTGCAGTTGCAACTTCGTGGCGTAGTTTCAGTTTCTTTATGAAACGACTTATTTTACGGAGAACACCAAAAAAGCCACTGCCATAAGGAAGTTGTGCCTTCTTCAAAATGTACTCATCCAGGACATCTTCAATGTTATAAGCTTCTTCTCGTAGTTGTTTTACCCATGTTTTAACACATTCATCGCCTTCTCCTTCTTCTTCGGCTGCTGCTGTTGCATCTGCATTCGTGAGGCAAGACCTCATGCTTTCCAATTCACTTTTGATACTTTCAACTTCTTTTTTTGCACTTCCGAGCAACTTGACTTCCTGGACAAGAAGGGAACCCAAGGTTTTTATAGCAAACTCCACCGCAGCCTCTGCCATAGCTCACCTTTCTTTCTTATTGGGTTGATGTCAATCTATAAGAATTGATTCCAGGAAAATGAATAATAACATGAAATGTTTGATTGTGTAGCAAATATGTAAAGGTTAAGTGTACAAAACATCTTGTCAAAACCTTAAGAGTCAACAAGACGAAGAGTGAAGTCAAACTTTAAAGTGGCAAAAGTTTCAACTCGTCTTATTTACCCAAAACCATAGTCCACAAAAGATTATAGCAAAAAATATTAAAAAATTCCTTGTCCAAATATTATTTATATCTACCCAACTAAATAAAATTCATAAATCTAGATTTTAGAGGAAGAATAATCAAAAGGGCTTCTTATACTTTATACATACCCCGTAATTCAATAATTAATAAATATATAAAGAAAAAGTTCCACTTACCGATCTTAAAGGTGAACCACCAACTTTGAGTAACACACTTCCAAAATTTCTAGCCGTGTCTTTTCTGCTTCTGTGACGAGGATCAAAAACAGATCTTGTTTTCTTCTATAAGATGCAGAGACTTCTTTCCAAACGCCGCCACTTACTCCAAACAATAGCAAAGAAGGGAAGGAATTGTTGAAATTCTTTCTTTGGAGAACGAAACTAATTTTCTTGAGAAAATTCCAACCAGATTTACCTCGTCTCAGACCCAACTTGTCAATACTCTCTGCCACAATCCCCGACTCCTCTTGACACCGGCTGCCACTGTTATGGAATTTCGGCCATCAATGCACTCTTTACTGTCTGATTTCCGCCACCAAATCAATGGCTATAATTCTTTACGTTTCCTCTCCACTGCCCGTCGGCACCCGCTTCGGTCCAACAAAGTTGACATAGGCGCTCGATCTTGACAGTTACAGAACCATCGTCTCTGGACCTATGCACTGACCTTAATCTGTATCGTTGGGTACTTGGGTTCATAGTAATTGTTCTTAACAATTTTCAAGATCAGTTAGTTTTTTAATAACACTATTCATTAAATTTAACTTTGTTTTTTAATTTTTAAAAATATCATCTATGTGTTGATTTTTTTTTTTTTCAGAATTGAAGTTTCATATATATATTTGATACGCTTAATTTATATAACATATAATATATTTAAAATAACAATTTGCCCTTCCTCAACTAAATTCCATGACGTGACAATTCATAAACATTAATTTTGTAATTTGTATATATTTAACATATCATTTATATTTTGTTTTTGTCAAGTTATATCTATTGATAGTTTATAATAGCTTAAAATTGAATTAATGGATGAGGAGATAATCTTAAAACATATCTAAATTTAAATATTTGTATCGAAATTTTTTTTAAAGTTTTGGATATAATTACTGTGCCTATAAAAAATTTTAGTCCCCATGGTTTTGATTTACTAACAGTTAAAATGACGTATTTGTTTTTCATTAAAGAATCCTTTCATTTCATTTGACTTTTTGTCAGTAATTGAAACTTTTTAAAATATAAAAGTTGTAAGCGACTTGAGGTTGAATTTAAATTTTTTATTTTATATATAAAAAATAAAATAAAAATTTAAAACTTAGATTTCAAAACTTGGTTTTGCAGAGTTAATTACAATAATACCCCAAAGAAAATTTATATTATTAGTTTTTTATCAAAAAAAATTGAAATAAAATAATGAAAAATATTAAAAAAAATAATTACAGAAACCATTGGAATTGCCCCAATTTCTGTTTTTTTTTTAATTAAAAAAGTTATGTTTTAATAATAAAAAATTAATTAAAAATGTCTATTTTTTTTTATATATATTTATTGGCTATATTTCATAATCTAAACCCAAAAGCAGTTTTAAAACTAAATAAAACAAACCCTATATAGATTCTATCAAAAATTGAATATTGCTATAACAATCTTAAATAAAGTCTAAGGATGCGTTTGGTTTAGTATTTTGGATAGGATTTTGGGGATAGTATTGGGTTATTGGATAGGGGAGTATTACAAGGTAAATTTTAAAAAATTGTGAAAAAGCCCTTAGGTTTACTAATTTAACTAAAGACCCTAACATATAAAATGACAAAAACACCCCCACCACCTGTAGTGTCAGATTCCGGCCACCACCGCCGGAATCTGGCTGGAAAATTTCGTTACAGCACAGACCGGTCGGATCTGTGCCGTAACACGTCGTTATGGCTTTTTCCAGCCAGATCCATGGTGGATCTGGCCGGAAAAGGCCAGATCTACGGTCTGTTATGGTCGTCGACAGTCGGAAAAGGCCAAACGACGGCCATCTTTGGCCGTCGTTTTCGGTCAACGACGGCCATTTCTTTGGCCGTTGCTGACGGCCAGATCTGGCCTTTTCCGGCCAGATCCGTGGTGGATTTGGCCGGAAAAGGCCACATCGGTGAACTTCCGGCCATTTCTGGTAGGAAGTTAGGCCGTTGTACAGATTCCGGCTATCACCGATGGTGGTTGCCGGAATCTGACAAGTTGGGTTGATGGGGGTGTTTTTGTTAATTTTTAAACTTTTTTTCAGGGAGTATTTAGTGAAATTAATAACCTTATGAGGTTTAAATGTAATTAAAAAAATTGGGTAATATTTCTGGAATAATGTGCCAAACATTATTTGGAGAATAGGATCCAGAATATAGATAAAAATATTAAGCCAAACATGCAATAAGCTTTTTGTGAACTAACATTATTCCTTTTTTGTTTTTAACTAGTTTATGTTTTATTTGTAAATACTTTGCTATATGGTTTAATTAATTAATTATATATATTCATATACATTCTAATCATCATACCGATAATAACCAATATATTACATATACATACGGATCATCATACTGATTACAAACAACATTGCACCATTATTACACTTTGATCATCTAATAGTAAATAGTAATACCCTCCAATAATCGTGGTTGATAGATCTAGAAGATGACTCATTAATGTATTCTCACAATAGTAGACACTTCACCTATTCATGGTAAAATATAGAAAAAAATATAAAAGTTAATCGAATTTAAGTAATAAAATGATTTTATGATTAATATTATATTTAAGAAATAAAATTATAAAAGCATATGATTATCATTACCCTCTTTTATTTGAACAAAAGAAGTGATATTTAAGAAGATTTCTAAAAAATTACATATTAAAATAAAAAACTGATTAAAGAGAAGAATCCGATTGGAACAAAATTATAAACCATTAAACTGTATAAAGTAGTACTGCCAATTGTTGATACTTAATTTTGACACCAACGACCTCGCACGTGCAAAGTGCTAAGCAGGTCTTAGAAGTAACACGTGATTAATTTGTGAGTTAGGACAAGGTTATAATAAAGAGCAAAAACTTAATAATAGATAAGACAGTGAAAATTTTATAGTGGTTCGAATGCTTAAAGCGATTCTTACATCCATTGTTTTTTTTTTTTTTTTTTTTTATATAAGTGTGTTAAAAGAGGTCACGAACAGCAAACAGAGATACAAAAGCTTGGTATTAAGAGAGAATATTAAGACAATTTCTTACCCGTGGGTTGTCTTTGCTATTGATTGTTATGAAAATTAGAGATCTTAATTTTGCGAGGGGAAGTCCTCTATTTATAGCTGCTAAATTTAAGGTGATGATTACAAGTCTACAAGTGGGTAGGTGCTGTGCAAGTCCACATGTCCCCATTCACTTGTAGACAAAACCTAAATCTGATGAGTTGGTGATAGCCATACTCTCTTTATCTTGGAGCGACGTGGCAAATCCTGAACGATGCAAAGCTTTCCTGAATTCTGATTGGTGTTTGCTGACATAGGCTTGCATTAGCCCTTGATGATTACAAGTCTACAAGTGGGTAGGTGCTGTGCAAGTTCTTCTTTACATCCCATTGGCTGATAATTTAGGAAATATCCTCAAATTATCCGAGGATTGGACATGTGTGCGGTCCCCATTCACTTGTAGACAAAACCTAAATCTGATGAGTTGGTGATAGCCATACTCTCTTTATCTTGGAGCGACGTGGCAAATCCTGAACAATGCAAAGCCTTCCTGAATTCTGATTGGTGTTCGCTGACATAGGCTTGCATTAGCCCTTGATGATTACAAGTCTATAAGTGGGTAGGTGCTGTGCAAGTCCTTCTTTACATCCAATTGGCTGATAATTTAGGAAATATCCTCAAATTATCCGAGGATTGGACATGTGTGCGGTCCCCATTCACTTGTAGACAAAACCTAAATCTGATGAGTTGGTGATAGCCATACTCTCTTTATCTTGGAGCGACGTGGCAAATCTTGAACGATGCAAAGCCTTCCTGAATTCTGATTGGTGTTCGCTGACGTAGGCTTGCATTAGCCCTTATTTTTTAGGCATAACAAAAGCTCTACAGTTCTTAAGATTCAAGGAATTGGATCTTGAGAACTTCATGATTATGTTGCGACCTGACTTGTCTTCAGAAATGTTTGCTCGAAATGAAAGTCGAGAGTAGTCACATCGTTGCAGATGACCTGAAGCTGACTGCTTGACCTGACTGGCGAACTAAGTGTAGGTTATGATTTATACTTTGAGAGCAACACAAGCGACCTAACGTGATTGTTTACATAGATCCATGGACCTGAGCTTGACCTTGTCATGTGTTATCAGGATGTGTTTTAAACTCCAATTGTCATTCACGACCTGAAAACACTTAGAATATTTTGCTGTTGAAATTTGTGAATCATCTTGTTCGGTGTTCGAGTCTGACATGTTGAACAGTTGTCTTTTTTGAACGAACTCTTCAGATGTTATCTTTTGCGTTTGACAGCTGGCTCAGCCAATAAAATAAGCTTTATTTGACAGATGTGTCTTTGCGTAATAAGTGTTATCCATGAGCATTAAATGCAAGTCATGCTAAAACGATATTCTCTTTTGGAGCATTAAATGCGGATGAGGGCACATTTAATGTGGAGGAGATAATCATACCGACGTTTGGCATTTTCAATACAAAAATGCGTCAGTTGATTTTCATGAAGTGTGGGGGTTACTTCTCGCATGGATTGATCACACGTGG